CACATTTTAATGACTTCAGTCCTTAAGCTTAATAATAATGATAAATTACAAAATTACAAGATGCTTAAAATGTAACAAATGCCTTAAAGCATTAAAAATAATAAAATGTACAACAAAATTAATATTTGTAGGCTCATACTATAATAATTTTTACTGCTAAGATAAAATTTAGTATTATATATTGATCATCATTTTTATGTTAAATACAAATTGGAATTTATTACTCAACAAAATAATGAAATAAAATTTAAAAATAAAAACCATCAATGTATTACTAACACATATTCAAAATAATTATTTTCTGTTTAAATTACACATGACAAATTAAAACTGAAAAACTAAAACAAGCATTAAACATTTTTTTTCGTTTTCTATTAAAATAAATATTTATTTATGTAAGTAATTTTAAAAGCACTGAACTATACGATGAAAAACATTTGATGACTTCATCTGTGTCAATTGGAATATCTTTTTCACATGAAATCACCATGAGTGATTCCAAGCGTTCTTCACACATTGTTGATCTAAGACGTGTTTTTATTAATTTTAATTTAGAAAATGCACGTTCTGGAGATGCGCTTGATACAGGAAGAGTAAGTGCAATGCAAAGTGCAGTATATAGTGATGGGAAAATATTTTTCAACTCTGATCTGTTGCATACCTCAAACAACATATGTATTGTATCTAGTGATTTTTCATGTTCCCCAAAGCTGTCTTCATCTGTATCTTGGTCTTCATTGTCATCAGAGTTTAAAACATCTGTAAAATCATGATGCAATTTTTCTGGAAGTTTCACTAGCTTTTCAAACTCAAAAAAAGTGTTAGCGAATTGTAAATATTCTCGTCTCAAATTCACTGCAGATACAAACTTCCCATAAACCTGCTCAAAAGCATTAAAAGCATCAACAGGAAGTCTTAAATTATTGGGTTCTGCTACTTCTTTAAGTCGTTTTTTTTGGAATAGTGATATATCTTTAAATAAAGGTGTAGAATGTTCATTGAATCTCTCAGCAACTTGTGTACAAACGATGTCTATTACAACATAATATGTTTTTATTTTAAAATTATCTATAGGACTGATTAAAGGTTGATCGTCTGGCGCTTTTTCACCTGGCATTTTTTTTATTCTTCTGGTGCGAATCTCTGTAAGAGGTATCATGTAAAAATGATTAAATTTGGATTCTAAAAATTTGTTCTTTTCATTAACAATTATTTTAAATTGTGTTTCACTTCTAAGTTCTTGAATTCTTTTGAGAACAAATTTAACATAAGAGACAGCATTTAAAAGATCTATATTTTTTCCTTGTAATAATTTGCTTAGTGGATTAACTAAATCAAATATTTTCTTAAATGTTAACCCTGTTAAAATAAATCTCTCAGATAATAAATAATCTAATAAGCTTTTTGCTTTTACACTACAAACTCGATCAGACGAAGAGTCGGTTTGTAAGTAATGTAATAAGTCTATAAGTGCATCATATGTATCGAATACTGTTAGGAGTGCACTTGAATGTGATGACCATCTAGTAGTTGAAACTCTTTTTAACCTTCGAAGGGATTTGCCAGGGTATCGCACTTTTTGATAATCAGAGTATAGACCACCACGTTTTTTACTACTTCCTACATAATCGTACAAGGTTTCTAAATTTCCAAACAAATCTCTTGCTTCTACACAACTACTTACTGCATCAACTACAACAAGACTAATTCTATGGGCCCAACACCAAACGTACGTTGCAGATGGATTATGTGTTTTGATGATTGATTGTAGCCCATTGTAGGCGCCTCTCATTGATGCTGCTCCATCGTACGATTGGCCTACTAGATTTTGTTTCCAATTTAGATTCATTTCTTTGCAAATATCTACAAACATTGTAAAAAGATGTTGCCCAGAAGTCAATACTGTTTCTCGAACTGCCACCAAACGTTCACAAACAATGCCATTTTTTTTATTAATATACCTTAAAACAATAGACAGTTGTTCTTTTCTTGAAATATCATAAGTTGTATCTAATGATACACTGAAAAACACTGAACTTAATAATTCTTTCTGAATAGTGTCACGAATATTAGTAGAAATGGCTTGTATAAGTTGATTCTGGCGCTGCCATGACAAAAAACTATGCATTTTTCTTCCTTTTATTTGAAGTTGTGTTATATATGATGATAACGCAGGCGAGTATTTCGCTAACAGCTTTGTTAAATCTTTGAAATTCCCACACAATTCTTCTTGCCATCCTTCCTTGTGACCTCTAAATGATAGACAATGTCGTCCTAGAAACAATGTTAGATCAATTAAATGTCTAATTATTTCACGATTAAGCAGAACATTTGATACAGCATTTTCTTGTAACGATGGTAATAATGGAAAAGAAGCTTCTTTATAAGCAGCTTTAATTGATGCCATTATATGGGCTTCGGAAGTTTCATGAATTATAATTTTATTTGGTCCATTTTTCCAAAAATGAAAACCTTCTTTTATCCAATTTGTTTGCTCATTTCTTCCAAAAAGCACACAGTATAGACAGTATGCTTTATTTTGTTTTTTTGAATACGATAACCATTTTCGTCTAGATACATCACCATTTGGCAACTTTTTCCAATACCAATTTTCATGGAAGGACCTCCCTTGTGCATCAATTGGAAATTTTTTATTAGGTAGTTCATTAGGTAGTGGTTGGGAT